CCATGAGATAGTGTAATTGTAGTATTGTGTTGTATATAGTCCAGAGGTGAAGAAACGGTATTTAATCATCTTCATGCCGCATATTGTAGATTAATATAGAGCGTATTTCTGCGATGAGGTATTATGTACAATATTTACATTATTCTGACTATTGTTCTCATCTGTGTTGCCATATTTATCACAACGTTTCGGCCGTTGTACCACTCGGCCTTCTTCAGGTGGTGGGAATGTCGAACTGAACACTTTATTTCGTTCGCTGGGGAAAGAGTGTGTGAGAGGGAGACATCATCTAGCGTGCGTTACTGGGAGTCTCCTAGTAGACAGATGGGGTAATCTCATATTAATATTGTTTTCACTGACGAAAAGCTATGAAAGAGTGATTTTGATAACTGTGAATAAGTAGACTACTTATTTGTTTATGTAGTTTAGTGAAGCACGAATTACTTTGTATATATATATATATATATATATATATATATATATATATATATATATATATATAGAGAGAGAGAGAGAGAGAGAGAGAAGAGGATTACATAGATAGATAGATAAGAGGATTAGATAGATAGGTAAAAAGGATTAGATAGATAGATAACTTGATTAGATAGATAGATAGATAGATAGATAGATAGATAGATAGATAAGAGGATTAGATAGATAGAAAGATAGATAAGGGGATTAGAATTTTACTATAAATTGAAAATAAAAATTACCAATTTTAAATTTTACCTGTATTAAAATTTCAGTAAGAGCAAACTCTAATCTTAGGATATACAAGTATTATAACAACTTAGATACATTTGAAATGAAGATATTGGCAGGGGAAGAAATTTTGAAAATGACAATACATACAAACATACATACATAAAAAAATCCGTGGTAAGTAACCAAGTGAATAAATTTCCCTCCTCTTTCTTCCTATTTACAAAAACATTATGTCGCATATTTCTATTCATATTTTTATCTAACTCCTTGGTGTTGACAAACCCATTATGGGCGAAATGGCCATATATCATATATTTTTACTGAATTTTAACCATTTGTAATTTATATATATATATATATATATATATATATATATGTGTGTGTGTGTGTGTGTGTGTGTGTGTGTGTGTTTTAGTAATTCATTACTTAAACGTTATTTTTAGTTTTAGTGGATACTTATGTTTGTATAGATGTTCCATTTATTTATTAAACAATAAATTTATTTGTTTCTTCTACCGGCCTGTATATTTGAGAAGTCTTATTAAAATATGCTCTGTCCGGCAGGATATAACCTTGAGTCCTGCTTGATGGGAGAAACCCTCGTTAGACACTGATTACGTCATCGATCAAGCAAATTTGAATAGTGCCTTATAAACGCAAATCTTTCCTAGACTCTTGAAACATTCATATCTGCTCAGTTTCGTATCCCAACGTAAAACAGAAAAAAACAATTTTAAAATTAGGTTTGCATGATGGGCGTTTAAATAATAAATTCTCTCTGACTAATTAATAAAAATCTACCAATTCTTTAAATATATATATATATATATATATGTATATATATATATATATATATATTAAAATTTTATGTTGAAATCCTCACAATATATATTTCTAGTGGTGATTTAACTTAAATCACCATTAGAAATTTTGTTGAGATTCACAAACTCTAGGTTTCGTCCAATTTAGCAAACCAATCCATGAAATTTGAATAAACTAATTTGCTTGGAAAAATACTTTGACAAAAACCTTACTTCGTTGTATAATAATGACTTTAATTTCATTTTATTATATAAAATTTCATGGTAAACAATATTTTGAAGATTTTTTTTAACAGGGATGAATATATACTTAGGATTTCTTACTCTTGAGCATGCATCATACAACTCGCGATACGTATTTATTTTTTCTGGGACTAAATTCCAACTTTTTCAAGTGTTTTGCCTTGTTATTTGTTTTCTTTCGCGCAAACGCAGGCGAACATGAAACTGGACCCATGTATATATAAAAACTAAATTAAAAGATATGCAAAAATTTTTGCTAAATTTGAATTTTTACTAAATAAGTATTTGTTATTTTAATCATTAAATTGTGTTTAAAATAGTGGGAGTATTTTGTATGTTAAATAATAAAACTTTTATTTTTGTCAAAAAAAAAAAAATCATGAAAATTTATTGCACTATGGTACGCAGCCTAGTAAAATCAACCGTATTTGCAGAAGGAGTCGAAAATAGTATCAGAATACAATGATGATGTCAAAGAGTGGTAAGTGAAAAAACCGCTATCGCCAAGTAGCTAATGTTTGAAATGCTTACTTTATATTCCAAATAATTCGCATGGGTTATATTTATCTGTGTTTTCCTGTTTGGAAAGGTCATGGTTCCTCTTCATCAGACCAAAAATTTACACAGCGATCTCCAAATTCTTGGAAAATCTACGAGCAATAAATAAATTGCTTAACAAGATAGGATGCATTGTTGCCAGCAAATGAGGCGGGCCAGCATTGGAGCTATGCATTTGGGATGAAAAGCTCAAGCAGCTACGGAAATTTCAATTTTCTTGTTAATGTGCTAACAGACAACGAAAAAGGCGACACAGAAATCCTAAGAGGCATTAGAAATACGGAAGATGTTTTCAATAAACAAAGAAAAGCATTAAGAGACAGGGAAAATCATTAGAAAGCCTGGATAGCGTTCTTAACTGCTACGCTATACCTAATATCGTGTATGCTGGCGAATGCTGGACACGCCCTTGAAAGACGAATGAGAGACTTGCAGAGACAGCGACGAGGTTTTATTGGCTAATGTTCAAAATATCATGTACAGTGGCCTACGAAAAGTTTTCAGCCTGGAGAAATAAACTACATCAAATTTCAAAATTTAATTACGTAATCCCAGCTCAACATAAATAAACAGTATTTGGAACTAGTATGGAATAGGACCTCCATTTGCTAGTTTCAGTGTTTATATTTGATTTTTCATGGATTTGTTCAAGTTATCAACAATCTCCTTTGGCAATGCATCTTTAAGGGTTGCCACTGGCGTGATTTTGGTTGCATGCTCTCTAAGTTTTCGGTCAAGGTCCTCTCAAATGTGCTCTATTGGATTCATGTCAGGACTTTTGGCTACATATGGCATTGGATTGATTCTCTTGAGATGTTGAGTGTTTCCCCGTGCGTGTATTGAAATAAGGATAAACCCATACGTAGGGAAAATACTGGTATATCTGAAGAGGTATTTACAACAGAGAGATTAGTAGTCAAACGAACACAGGTTAGTCAGTAACAATCAGAAAGAGTATAAAGTTCAACTGTATCTTCCGGTAGAGAGACGAAAGTGTGATGGTCACCTGATCTTCCCAGAACTCTATAGAACTGTCCTATTAGTAGTAGAGAGATCAGTCCATGCTGATGAGAAGGTGGGTGGTCCCAACAGATTCCTTGCGATTCCTTCCAGGTCTTTGCAACTTTGCTCGTATCACATATCACCCCATCTCCTTGGAAAAAGTAGACATTCTTGTCAATCTGATTGGGTTCCAAATAGTGGGAGTAATCCTTTCTCTAATATTTGATACTATTTTAGACCATTCAACCGCTCGTGAACAAGAATCAGCTCGGATTTCCTTCCAAACCAGACAGCACCCCACACCATAACTTCAATCCTTCCATCTTTCACGGTCCCCTGCAGACATTTAGTGTTCCAAGTCTCATTCTGATTTCTCCAACTATAGACATGTCTCGAATTCGAATATTGGCAGAATTTACTTTCATCTGAACAAATTAAAGACTGCTAAAATGCATAATCTTTGCTTTCGAACTCTCTAGCTCAGTCCATATATCAGTTCCTGTTAACCTCTGAAATCAAGGTATTCTTTCTTGAAACTCTTCTTTGATAAAATATCTCTTTCAGAATCTTTCTCACTGCATATGGCGATATTTCCATGCTGTTGGTGAGATCTTTGAGGCCCTGAAGACGGTTTCTGATGACTTCCCTCTTCAGCGCCCCTTTCCCTAGCTCAGACACGATGTTTGGTCTTCCTGAACATTGTTCTACTGGACAATAGCCTTCTTCATTAAATTCTTTGACAATATTATTAAGCGTTTCATGATTAACCTGTAAAAACCTAACAATTTCTCTATTTGACTTGCCATTCTATTATTTGCCATCGTTGAAATTCACCAATTTCCTTACTTCCGCGAACTTTCATTGCAAAATATAAGTCAACTATCGTTCCAAGATGAGGGTAATTTGATACTAACACATTATTATCTGAAAGAAGAGAGGTTATTACGCAAGCCAAAATTGTTGTAAACAAGAGTGACTAAAAACTTATCATTGCCCGCTGTAATTAACATGTGAGCAACGAGAAAGTTTTAATAAAATCGGAACTGATTTTAATACTTGAAAGGAAAGTATTATGGGACAACTAATGAGGGCCTAGAAAATTTAATATTCAAAGAGCAAACAATGAGTAACATAAGTTACGATTGTGTGTGAATGAAGAGCAGAGTAAAACTAAAAGGCATGATAAAAGTACAACGTTTCGTAGGACAAAAAGCAACAGGGAGTTGGGGAGAGTAATGACCACACACGTCATGAAGTGACACGGCTGATAAAAATGACGAAAGAGATTGGATGGATACCATACAATAGATTCTTATAAATGGTTTTTTTCTCCTTTTGAAATTGTCAGAAAGGAAGACAAGGAAAGTTTCTACTAGTCTCATTCCTCATGTTTTCTCTCTGTCAATAATGTTTTCGTTTCTTTAGTTTTTGTATTTCATGTTTCAGTTGCAAGTGTCTTGTCATCAGCCAATCAATCGATTATCATTTACTTACAGTAAAGGATGCACACATCCGCTGACAATGTCGTAACGCAGACAGAAATTCGATTACAGCTTCCTCGAAAACAAATAAACAGAATCTGATGGGTTTGACGTTAATTATATATCAATGATAAAATTGAACAGGTACTCTGAGAAGAATGCGAGACGGTCACGTAACAATTCTCTAGATATGTTTATTGGTATTCCACTCGTTCCTTATCTATCTATCTATCTATCTATCTATCTATCTATCTATCTATCTATCTATCTATCTATCTATCTATCACAGACTGTTTCTATCTATCTATCTATCTATCTATCTATCTATCTATCTATCTATCTATCTATCTATCATCATCACAGACTGTTTCTATCTATCTATCTATCTATCTATCTATCTATCTATCTATCTATCACAGACTGTTTCTATCTATCTATCTATCTATCTATCTATCTATCTATCTATCTATCTATCACAGACTGTTTCTATCTATCTATCTATCTATCTATCTATCTATCTATCTATCTATCTCTTTTCATACCTATTTTAGTATTTTCATATCAGTTTAGCTAGCTATGAAAGCTATCTTTATTCTTTATTCATATCTATCTATCTATCTATCTATCAGTTTATCTATGAAAGCTATCTATTCATATCTCTTTATCAATCTACCTATTTTTTCATATTTAGTTTTTCATATCAGTTTAGCTAGCTATGAAAGCTATCTTTATTCATATCTATCTATCTATCAATCTATCTATCTATCTATTTTCATACCTATTTTAGTATTTTCATATCAGTTTAGCTAGCTATGAAAGCTATCTTTATTCATATCTATCTATCTATCAATCTATCTATCTATCTCTTTTCATACCTATTTTAGTATTTTCATATCAGTTTAGCTAGCTATGAAAGCTATCTTTATTCATATCTATCTATCTATCAATCTATCTATCTATCTATTTTCATACCTATTTTAGTATTTTCATATCAGTTTAGCTAGCTATGAAAGCTATCTTTATTCATATCTATCTATCTATCAATCTATCTATCTATCTATTTTCATACCTATTTTAGTATTTTTCATATCAGTTTAGCTAGCTATGAAAGCTATCTTTATTCATATCTATCTATCTATCAATCTATCTATCTATCTATTTTCATACCTATTTTAGTATTTTCATATCAGTTTAGCTAGCTATGAAAGCTATCTTTATTCATATCTATCTATCTATCAATCTATCTATCTATCTATCTCTTTTCATACCTATTTTAGTATTTTCATATCAGTTTAGCTAGCTATGAAAGCTATCTTTATTCATATCTATCTATCTATCAATCTATCTATCTATCTATTTTCATACCTATTTTATTTTCATTTTTAGCTAGCTATGAAAGCTATCTTTATTCATTTATCTATCTATCAATCTATCTATCTATCTAATACCTATTTTATTCATATCAGTTTAGCTATCTATCTATCAATTATTCTATCTATCTATCTATCAATCTTTCTATTTTCATACCTATTTTAGTATTTTCATATCAGTTTAGCTAGCTATGAAAGCTATCTTTATTCATATCTATCTATCTATCAATCTATCTATCTATCTATTTTTCATACCTATTTTAGTATTTTCATATCAGTTTAGCTAGCTATGAAATGCTATCTTTATTCATATCTATCTATCTATCAATCTATCTATCTATCTATTTTCATACCTATTTTAGTATTTTCATATCAGTTTAGCTAGCTATGAAAGCTATCTTTATTCATATCTATCTATCTATCAATCTATCTATCTATCTATTTTCATACCTATTTTAGTATTTTCATATCAGTTTAGCTAGCTATGAAAGCTATCTTTATTCATATCTATCTATCTATCAATCTATCTATCTATCTATTTTCATACCTATTTTAGTATTTTCATATCAGTTTAGCTAGCTATGAAAGCTATCTTTATTCATATCTATCTATCTATCAATCTATCTATCTATCTATTTTCATACCTATTTTAGTATTTTCATATCAGTTTAGCTAGCTATGAAAGCTATCTTTATTCATATCTATCTATCTATCAATCTATCTATCTATCTATTTTCATACCTATTTTAGTATTTTCATATCAGTTTAGCTAGCTATGAAAGCTATCTTTATTCATATCTATCTATCTATCAATCTATCTATCTATCTATTTTCATACCTATTTTAGTATTTTCATATCAGTTTATACCTATTTTAGTATTTTTATTCATATCTATCTATCTTTATCTATCTATCTATTTTCAAACCTATCTTTATTTTTCATATCAGTTTATCTATCTATCAATCTATCTATCAATCTATCTATCTCTTTTCATACCTATTTTAGTATTTTCATATCAGTTTAGCTAGCTATGAAAGCTATCTTTATTCATATCTATCTATCTATCAATCTATCTATCTATCTATTTTCATACCTATTTTAGTATTTTCATATCAGTTTAGCTAGCTATGAAAGCTATCTTTATTCATATCTATCTATCTATCAATCTATCTATCTATCTATTTTCATACCTATTTTAGTATTTTCATATCAGTTTAGCTAGCTATGAAAGCTATCTTTATTCATTCATCTATCTATCTATCTATCAATCTATCTATCTATCTATCTATTTTCATACCTATTTTAGTATTTTCATATCAGTTTAGCTAGCTATGAAAGCTATCTTTATTCATATCTATCTATCTATCAATCTATCTATCTATCTATTTTCATACCTATTTTTAGTATTTTCATATCAGTTTAGCTAGCTATGAAAGCTATCTTTATTCATATCTATCTATCTATCAATCTATCTATCTATCTATTTTCATACCTATTTTAGTATTTTCATATCAGTTTAGCTAGCTATGAAAGCTATCTTTATTCATATCTATCTATCTATCAATCTATCTATCTATCTATCTATTTTCATACCTATTTTAGTATTTTCATATCAGTTTAGCTAGCTATGAAAGCTATCTTTATTCATATCTATCTGTCTATCAATCTATCTATCTATCTATTTTCATACCTATTTTAGTATTTTCATATCAGTTTATCTAGCTATCTAATCTTTATTCATATCTATCTATCTATCAATCTATCTATCTATCTATCTATCTATCTTTTTTTCATACCTATTTTAGTATTTTCATATCAGTTTAGCTAGCTATGAAAGCTATCTTTATTCATATCTATCTATCTATCAATCTATCTATCTATCTATTTTTTTTTCATACCTATTTTAGTATTTTCATATCAGTTTAGCTAGCTATGAAAGCTATCTTTATTCATATCTATCTATCTATCAATCTATCTATCTATCTATCTTTTTCAATCATACCTATTTTAGTATTTTCATATCAGTTTAGCTAGCTATGAAAGCTATCTTTATTCATATCTATCTATCTATCAATCTATCTATCTATCTATCTCTTTTCATACCTATTTTAGTATTTTCATATCAGTTTAGCTAGCTATGAAAGCTATCTTTATTCATATCTATCTATCTATCAATTTAATCTATCTATCTATTTTCATACCTATTTTTTAGTATTTTCATATCAGTTTAGCTAGCTATCTAAGCTATCTTTATTCATATCTATCTATCTATCAATCTATCTATCTATCTATCTCTTTTCATACCTATTTTAGTATTTTCATATCAGTTTAGCTAGCTATGAAAGCTATCTTTATTCATATCTATCTATCTATCAATCTATCTATCTATCTATTTCATACTATTTTAGTATTTTCTATCTTTAGCTAGCTATGAAAGCTATCTTTATTTTCTATCTATTTTCTATCTATCTATCTTTTCATATCATATTTTAGCTAGCTATGAAAGCTATCTTTATTCATATCTATCTATCTATCTATCTATCTATCTATCTATTTTCATACCTATTTTAGTATTTTCATATCAGTTTAGCTAGCTATGAAAGCTATCTTTATTCATATCTATCTATCTATCAATCTATCTATCTATCTATTTTCATTTTTTATATTTTCTATTTTAGTATTTTTTATTCATCTATCTATCTATCTATCTATGAAAGTCTTTTTTCATCCTATTTTAGTATTTTTTAATATATCTTAGCTATCTATCTATCTATCATATCTATCTATCTTCATCTATCTATTATATCTCTTTCATACCTATTTTAGTATTTTCATATCAGTTTAGCTAGCTATGAAAGCTATCTTTATTCATATCTATCTATCTATCAATCTATCTATCTATCTATCTCTTTTCATACCTATTTTAGTATTTTCATATCAGTTTAGCTAGCTATGAAAGCTATCTTTATTCATATCTATCTATCTATCAATCTATCTATCTATCTATCTATCTATCTATTTTAGTATTTTCATACCTTTATTTTAAAGCTATCTATCTATCATTTTTATCTATCTATCTATCTATCAATCTATCTTTTATTCATATCTTTTATCTATGAAAGCTATCTATCTATCTATCTATTTTCAATCTATCTATTTTAGTATTTTCATATCTATTTTAGTTTTTCATATGTTTTTTATCTTTTATTCATATCTATCTATCTATCAATCTATCTATCTATCTATCTATTTTCATACCTATTTTAGTATTTTCATATCAGTTTAGCTAGCTATGAAAGCTATCTTTTTTTCATATCTATCTATCTATCAATCTATCTATCTATCTATCTTTTTTTTACCTATTTTAGTATTTTCTATCAGTTTAGCTATCTATGAAAGCTATCTTTATTCATATCTATCTATCTATCTATCTATCTATCTATCTATCTATCTTTTTTTCATACCTATTTTAGTATTTTCATCTCAGTTTAGCTTTTATGAATCTATATCTTTATTCATATCTATCTATCTATCAATCTATCTATCTATCTATCTTTATTTTCATACCTATTTTAGTATTTTCATATCAGTTTAGCTATCTATGAAAGCTATCTTTATTCATATATCTATCTATCTATCAATCTATCTATCTATCTATCTATTTTCATCCTATTTTAGTATTTTCATATCAGTTTAGCTAGCTATGAAAGCTATCTTTATTCATATCTATCTATCTATCAATTTATCTATTATCTATCTATCTTTCTATACCTATTTTAGTATTTTCATATCAGTTTAGCTAGCTATCTAAGCTATCTTTATTCATATCTATCTATCTATCAATCTATCTATCTATCTATCTATTTTCATACCTATTTTAGTATTTTCATATCAGTTTATCTAGCTATCTAAAGCTATCTTTTATTCATATCTATCTATCTATCAATCTATCTATCTATCTATTTTTTCATACCTATTTTAGTATTTTCATATCAGTTTATCTATCTAAGCTATCTTTATTCATTCCTATCTATCTATCAATCTATCTATCTATCTATCTTTTTCAACCTATTTTAGTATTTTCATATCAGTTTCTAGCTATCTAAAGCTATTTTATTCATATCTATCTATCTATCTATCTATCTATCTATCTATCTATCTTTTTCATCTATTTTATATCATATTTCATTTATCTAAACATTTTTTCAGTTTCTATCTATCTATCTATCTATCTATCTATCTTTTTAACCTATTTTTATTTTCATATCTATCTATCTATCTTTCAATCTATCTATCTATCTATCTATCTATCTTTTTCATACCTATTTTAGTATTTTCATATCAGTTTAGCTAGCTATGAAAGCTATCTTTTTCATATCATATCTATCTATCTATCTATCTATCTATCTATCTTCATTTTCATACCTATTTTTAGTATTTTTCATATCAGTTTATCTATCTATGAAAGCTATCTTTTTATTCATATCTATCTATCTTTATCTATCTATCTATCTATCTATCTATCTATCTATTTTCATACCTATTTTTAGTATTTTCATATCAGTTTAGCTAGCTATGAAAGCTATCTTTTCATCATATCTATCTATCTATCAATCTATCTATCTATCTATCTTTTTCATACCTATTTTAGTATTTTCATATCAGTTTATCTATCTATGAAAGCTATCTTTATTCATATCTATCTATCTATCTATCTATCTATCTATTTTTTCATACTATTTTAGTATTTTCATATCTATTTTAGTATTTTTTATTCATCTATCTATCTATCTATCTATCTATCTATCTATCTTTTTTCAAGCTATCTATTATCTCATTTTATTCATATCTATCTATCTATCTATCTATCTATCTATCTATCTTCATCTATTTTAGTTTTTCATATCTTTTATTTTATGAAAGCTATCTATCTATACATTTTTTCAATCTATCTATCTATCTATCTATTTTTATATTTTTAGTCTTTTTTCCATATCTATCTATCTATCTATCTTTATTCTATTTCTATCTATCTATCTATCTATCTATCTATTTTCATATATGTTTAGTTTTTTCATATCATAGCTATCTATCTAAAGCTATTTTTTATTCATATCTATCTATCTATCAATCTATCTATCTATCTATTTTCATACCTATTTTAGTATTTTCATATCAGTTTAGCTATCTATCTAAGCTATCTTTATTCATATCTATCTATCTATCATCTATCTATCTATCTATCTATTTTCATACCTATTTTAGTATTTTCATATCTATCTATCTAAAGCATTTTTTAATTCATATCTATCTATCTATCTATCTATCTTTATCTATTTTCATATTTTAGTATTTTCATTCAGTATCTATCTATCTTTAATCTCTATCTATCATCTATCTATCTATCTATTTTCATACCTATTTTAGTATTTTTATTCAGTTTATCTAGCTATGAAAGCTATCTTTATTCATATCTATCTATCTATCAATCTATCTATCTATCTATCTATTTTCATACCTATTTTAGTATTTTATCTAATCAGTTTAGCTAGCTATCTAAGCTATCTCTTTATTCATATCTATCTATCTATCAATCTATCTATCTATCTATTTTCATACCTATTTTAGTATTTTCATATCAGTTTATCTATCTATCTAAGCTATCTTTATTCATATCTCTTTTTCAATCATATCTATCTATCTAAACTATTTTTTATTCATATTTTAGTATTTTCTATCTTTATCTATCTTTGAAAGTATGTCTTTTATTCATATCTATCTATCTAAACAATTTATCTATCTATCTATTCTTCTATACTATCTTTTAGTATTTTCATATTATTTTATCTATCTATGAAAGCTATTTTATTCATATCTATCTATCTATCAATCTATCTATCTATCTATCTATTTTCATACCTATTTTAGTATTTTCATATCAGTTTAGCTATCTATGAAAGCTATTTTTATTCATATCTATCTATCTATCTATCTATCTATCTATCTATCTTTCTTTCATACCTATTTTAGTATTTTCTATCTCAACATTTTTAATATGAAAGCTATCTTTATTCATATTCTCTATCTATCTATCTATCTATCTATCTATCTTTTTCATTCCTATTTTAGTCATATCTTTATCTAAACATTTTTTATTCATATCTATCTATCTATCAATCTATCTATCTATTGTAAGTATGTATTTTTATTTTCATATCTATCTATCTAAACATTTTTAATTCCTATTCTATCTATCTATCTATCTATCTATCTATCTATTTTCATATCTTTTTTCATATCTATCTTCTAAACATTTTTAATTCTAGCTATCTAAAGCTATCTTTATTCATATCTATCTATCTATCTATCTTTCTATCTATGTCTTTTATTCATATCTATTTCTAAACATTTTTTATTCCAGTTTAGCTATCTATCTATCTATCTTTATTCATATCTATCTATCTTTTTCTATCTATCTATCTATCTATTTTCATACCTATTTTAGTATTTTCTATCTATTTATCTATTCTTTCTATCTATCTATCTATCTATTGTAAGTATGTCTTTTATTCTATCTATCTATCAAATTTTATCTATCTATCTATCTATCTATCTATCTTTTAAGTATCTATCTTCTATCTATTTTAGTATTTTTTATATCAGTTTATCTATCTGAAAGCTATCTTTATTCTATATCCTATCTATCTATCAATCTATCTATCTATCTATTTTTCATACCTATTTTAGTATTTTTTATTCAGTTTATCTATCTATCTAAACTATCTTTATTCATATCTATCTATCTATCAATCTATCTATCTATCTATCTATTTTCATACCTATTTTAGTCTATCTAAACATTTTCATATCTATCTATTTATCTATCTATCTATCTTTTGTCTTTATTTTATTCATATCTATCTATCTAAACATTTTTTAATTCCTATCTATCTATCTATCTATCTATCTATCTATCTATACTTTTTAGTATTTTCATTTAGTTTAGCTAGCTATCTAAGCTATCTTTTATTCATATCTATCTATCTATCTATCTATCTATCTATCTATCTTTTTGTATACCTATTTTAGTTTTTTCATATCTATTATCTAAACATTTTTAATTCCTATCTATCTATCTATCTATCTATCTATCTATCTATCTATCTATTTTTTTATTCTTTTTTAAACATTTTTAATTCCTATCTATCTATCTATCTATTCATATCTATCTATCTATCATGTCTTTTTATCATCTATCTATCTTTTTTTTAATACCTATTTTAGTCCTATCTATCTATCTTCTAGCTATCTTTGAAAGCTGTCTTTTTATTCATATCTATCTATCTATCATTTTTTAATCTATCTATCTATCTTCATACCTATTTTAGTATTTTCATATCATCTTATCTAGCTATGAAAGCTATTCTTTATTCATATCTATCTATCATTTCAATTCTATCTATCTATCTATCTTTTCATACCTATTTTAGTATTTTTTATTCATTTCTATCTATCTAAAGCATTTTTTAATTCATATCTATCTATCTATCTATCAATCTATCTATCTATCTATTTCATACCTCTTTTTCATTTCTATCTATCTAAAGCATTTTTTTCTTTCCTATCTATCTATCTCTATCTATCTATCTTTCAATCTATCTATTTATTCATCTATCTATCTAAACCTATTTTAGTATTATCTATCTATCTATCTATCTATCTATCTTTGAAAGTATGTCTTTTTATTCATTCTAAACATTTTATCTATCAATCTATCTATCTATCTATTATCTATCTATTTTAGTATTTTTTATTCAGTTTCTATCTATCTAAACATTTTTTAATTCATATCTATCTATCTATCTATCTATCTATCTATCTATCTCTTTTCATACCTATTTTAGTATTTTCATATCTTTAGCTATCTAAAAGCTATCTTTTATTCATATCTATCTATCTATCTATCTATCTATCTATCTATCTTTTTTCATACCTATTTTAGTATTTTCATATCTATTTCTATCTATCTTTGAAAGCTATCTTTTATTCATATCTATCTATCTATCAATCTATCTATCTATCTATTTTCATATCTATCTATTTTGTAAGTATTTTTTATTCAGTTTATCTAGCTAAACATTTTTAAGCTATCTTTATTCATATCTATCTATCTATCAATCTATCTATCTATCTATCTTTTTTCATATCTATTTTAGTATTTTCCTATATCTATTTATCTATTTATGAAAGCTATCTTTTATTCATATCTATCTATCTATCAATCTATCTATCTATCTATTTTCATACCTATTTTAGTATTTTCATATCAGTTTTCATCTATCTATCTAAACTTTTTTATTCATATCTATCTATCTATCTATCTATCTATCTATCTATTTCATACCTCTTTTATTCATTTTCTATCTAAACATTTTTTAATTCCTATCTATCTATCTATCTAAATCTATCTTTTTTATTCATATCTATCTATCTAAACATTTTTCTATCTATCTATCTATCTATCTATTTTAGTATTTTTTTTATCAGTTTATCTAGCTAAAAATTTTTCTTTATTCATATCTATCTATCTATCTATCTATCTATCTATCTATCTTTTTCTATCTATTTTATATTTTTTTTCATATTATCTATCTATGAAAGCTTTTTTATTTTCTATCTATCTATCTATCTATCTATCTATCTATCTATCTAAACTTTTTAAGTATTTTCATGTCTTTTATTCTATTATCTATCTAAACATTTTTATTCATATCTATCTATCTATCTATCTATCTATCTATCTATCTCTTCTTTCTAAGTATTTTTTTATTTTCATATCTATCTATCTAAACATTTTTAATTCCTCTTTATTCATATCTATCTATCTATCTATCTATCTATCTATCTATGTCTTTTATTCATATCTATCTATCATTTTTCATTCCTATCAGTCTATCTATCTATCTATCTTTTCAAGCTATCTTTTTATTCATATCTATCTATCTAAACATTTTTTATCTATCTATCTATCTATCTATCTATCTATCTTTGTTTATGTCTTTTATTCATATCAGTTTAGCTATCTATCTAAACATTTTTTTATTCATATCTATCTATCTATCTATCTATCTATCTATCTATCTTTTCATACCTATTTTAGTCTTTTTTATTCATTTATCTATCTATCTAAACATTTTATTCATATCTATCTATCTATCTATCTATCTATATCTATCTTTTCATATCTATTTTAGTATTTTTTATCAGTTTATCTATCTATCTAAACTATCTTTATTCATTCCTATCTATCTCTATCAATCTATCTATCTATCTATCTATTCATATCTATTTTAGTATTTTTTATTCATATTATCTATCTAAACATTTTTTTATTCATATCTATCTATCTATCTATCTATCTTTCTATTCTTTTTCTATCTAAACATTTTAGTATTTTCTATCTATCTATCTATCTTTGAAAGTATGTATCTTTATTCATATCTATCTATCTAAACATT